AAGAAAACAACTCAACCCAAAGTTCTGACATTTATCCCGTAGCGCCATCTTCACATGACACTCGGAACCAATTTTTTTTTCCTTTGTTTTGCGTAAGGCCAGAGTTGTTCATTCTTTGCTGCTTTTGATGTCTTAGAACGGCTTTCGTAACCTCCTTTTTTCCCTCTTATATATTTTCTGTTCCCGAAGGTTCATGAGTTATGAGAACTCATTTGCGCCTTTCAAAGGATGAGGAAAAAAGGGGATCAGAAAATAGATAATTTTTCTTATTTGGTTTATTTTCTTTCCTTTATCTTTCCCTACTGAACAACCTAATGTCTTGGTGACATTAGCGTCTGCTTTATGGGGTAAATCGGACCCAAAACATAGTTCAGGTGAATTGCTTGTAAATTAATTTACTGCCCTTGTTTTTCGATTTATTATTACTTTTTTTTAAGGTTTAGTCTAATTTGAACCAATTTGCACTTCAAAAATGTTTCTTATTTATTTTTCTAGAATTATCTTCAGTCTTTTTTTTTCTTCTTTTTTATGGTCTTTAAACGAAGCACGTTAAAAGAAAGACATCAACAGTTTTTCATTAAATGTCAGTCCTATAAACATTGTTCAAAAACAAACACTACTTTTAGACTAGCCTAGAAATCCAACCATCCTCTCTACGGAAATTATTTTTTTTCTTAGTCCGGGAGACAAGAAAATGCAGATATGAACTTTCTAAAGTCAAGGTAGGCAGTACCCATTAACCTTCAAAATACATCAGTTTAGGAAAAATCAGAGGAAGTATATATCGAGTAATGTTCATTTGTCTTAAAAATGTAGGAAATGCCGCCTAATGGGATTATTTTTACACTTTTACCAAAAAACTTAATCTAAATTTTTTGTTGTTAAAAATAACTGAGATAATGAGCTGGCATCGTGGGTAATTTTTTTTTTCACATTTGTCTCGTATTCCCTTGACTATCTCTTTGTAATCCGTTCTAAATGCAAATTAACTAGTCACCCCCGAGCAAAAAGAACTTTAAGAAAGATAAAAGCAACTGTTTCTAAAGTTTGAAATAAAAAACAAATTCTACTAAACTTACTAGTCTTAAGAAAAATGCAGACTTGGATTTCTCACCTTTCCCTACCTGCAAGATGAAAACGGAGCAATCACCGTCGTTTAGGAAAGAGTTTGGAATTGAGGGGCTAGTTTGAAAATCAAGCTGGGTTCAGTTACTAATCAGTTTAAAATAAACAACTGTTAGAACATGAAAAGCGTCTTTCAGGGGATTTGCAATTTCGCACTACGATTGTTTTACTTTGTGGCATAGTTTTCCATTCTGGTAGTTTAATATATTAAATACGGCCAAAAGCGGTTGTTAACCAACATCCAAGTATGATTCTAAACTAAATTCTAAGAGCTGCTGGATGGTTTTGCCGTCCGTGTTAAGAATGGAAGAGCTTAGAACAAAAACCACAGTACCAAACTGACCTCGAGTTATGAGATTAATAGCAGAAGACAAAGAATAAGTTAATTTTCACTTCGGATGAATTTAGAAGACATTTTCAGATAATATTCAATTCATACATCAGCGTTTGAAATAAAAATGGCAGGAGTATTATGTAATGCAATTATCTTAAAATTCAACATTGGTTAGGTTGTACTGCTTTCCGTCGCAGCCTCCCAAACAACCCCTTGACATATCATTAAACGCAAAAGTAATGTCTCTAGAAATACTATTTATTTCACGCCAAAATATTTCAAAAAAGTGGTAAATAAATAAACTAAATTTCGCAAATATTTGACTATTTTTGCTTGCTTTTTGAAAGGTATAGCAGGACATAACTACTATAAAGTGGTGAATTATATAAGACTACGAATTATTTAGAAATAGTGGTGGATAAAAATCTACTAAATTTAATTTATTAAACCAATAATCACAATTGATAGACTACCACTTTAAAATATTTATTTGCAGTCCGGAGCAAGATGGCATCTCTGTGTGGAAGACGTCTGAGACACGTCAATTATTGTTCTGACATGAGAAACAAATGACGTCTCCCAGACTTCTTCGTATGTCAAGGGGTGTGTGACTAAAAGGTATCTAACGCTTCAACTTTAGGAAAACTATATTTTGTACTAACATTCAAAATAGTAATAAATTGAATAAGTGAACTAAGCTCTATCCGATTAATGCATTTCAATCAATTAATGTTTATATATCAGGGACATCGCAGCAACACACGCAAGAACAACACGATTTGTTAAAACGTTAACGACGCATTGATAGTCACTACCTTACCGTAAAAATGGTTGAGTGAATCTGAGATTATATATTGCGACCCTTTTCCGCGTAAACGGTTATACATCATCTCACATCCCACTCTGTCTCGTGACTGGCTATTCAATGTTTAAGCAACATCCCGCGCTGTCGTAGGATTGGCAGCGAGAAGAGTCAAATGTCTTGGAGATCTCGCGAGGCTGTAAGAAAACTGGGCTCAGTAGCTGAATGTCCTTAAAAAATTGTCCTGTACAGAAATCCTTCATGACAAATTCTAAGGCACATTTTGTTTAACACTTCATAACACCATATTAAGTAAACGTCGTTCAACCTTACACCATAATCAGGTTTCAGCACAGTTGATCAATATCTAGGTTTTAAGCACCAATATTATGGTTCACCTAGAGCCATGTTCTCAGTAAGAGAGACAATTTTTCGTTACATTTAAAATATTTACATTTAATTTTCCGAATTTGCTTTAAACTCAATTCAGCTTGATCATAAAAGTTAAATAAAAATTACATTGTTAAAAAAAATTAATGTATGTTGAATCATTAAAGCAGGAATTCGTGCATTTTACTGAATGAAAATCTCTTAAGCAGTATGTCTACATTAATGCTATTCATATCGATTCATTTTTTCATATCGGTTAGAAATTCATTCTCTTTATAATTATGTGTTTCAAAGTTATACTTTTCCTTTCTTCGTTGTCATTATTTCAGCAAATATTTATTCCCCAAGTAAGTATATTCCTATGTCTTAACGCATCATTCTGGAGTAGTAAAAATTTGTTTAAACCATGGTAGCGTGAAAAATGAAGAATGCATAACCTTGAGACTCCTATTCCATTTATAAAGAGTATAATTTTGTTGCATATGATTCAATAAAATGTTTACTCTCATTTTAATAAAAAGTGATAATATGACATGACAATAATAGAGTAAAAGTTAAAGAATTTTACGAAAAAAATAGTTCTTGTTTCATATTTTTAAGAAATAATAAACTGAAATGCATTTGATTATTAATTGAATTATTTTATACGAGGGTTGTAAATTAAATAGTGGCAACTTAACCTTTAAACTCACAGAAGGACGGGCATGCGCAAATTAGATATGGGAGCTGTGAGGTGGGGCTGTTGTCGATGTGTAGAGTGCAAAAAAAGTCGATTAGCTTAGAAGGGTAGTTGTTGTGTGGCGTTAAAGTGAGGAGTTTCGTTTCCATCGCTCTAAAGCATGCTTTCAAAAGGTGATCAGCGGTCGTGGCTTACAATCGAGGTTGCCCGGGGCAAAAATGCAACAGAATGCTATCGAGGATTAGTGGAAGCCTTTGGAGCAAATGCTTTACCATATAGGACAGTAGCACGATGGATTCAAGCATCTCGTCTTTTTTCGTCATTAAGCCTTTTCACAACATGCTTTAGAGCGATGGAAACGAAACTCCTCACTTTAACGCCACGCAACAACTACCCTTCTAAGCAAATCGACTGTTTTTTGCACTCTACACATCGACAACAGCGCCACCTCACCGCACCCATACCCTATTTAAGCAGGCGCGCCCTTTTGTGAGTTTCAAGGTTAAGTTGCCACTATTTAATTTACAACCCTCGTATAAACTGCTATTATAAATGGTTTCTTCCGACCCTGCAGTCCGTTTGGTACCACTGACCCGTGGTTTTTAATTCAGAGTTGGAACTCTCACTGGTTAAATTTTGTCACCAGTCAAAAACGAAATTTATGTTGCTTCTTGTGAAGCGTGATTTCAGGTGTTGTGTCTGCGTGACTTGAGACCTTGTGCTTGACACTGCTTGGCGCTCAGGCTTGGCAGGGCTGATTCGTGAGACAATATATTTCACTTGGCATATGGGCTTTTCAGGCATGGATTCCTATAATATTTTTGTTAATATTTGGTCTTATGTTAACCCTTTCCGGAACAGTATCCAACACCATATTGCAAATCTCTAAAAATTCAAAACTATTTGCTTATAAACGCCACCCGGTTCTTAAAAGTCACTATTTTTTAAACACGGAGTTCTAATACATTTTCGTCTAAGAATCCACGAACTACATTAGCAATTGCAAGTCACGTGACAGAGTTAAATGCCCAGTTGCTACCTGCATAAGATTTTAAATCAAAATTTACTTCACAGAAAAAGATTAATGAAGTATTTAAAATATAGTTAAAAAATTTGTGGTAATTTAAATTAACCTGTGCAACAATGTAAATGAGATGGTAACTGAGCATTTTGAAAGAAAAGTTTTATGGTTTTAACAAATTTCAGGAATGTAGGTATTGATTTCAGTTAACCAAGTGCTTTATTTACAGTTCTTAAAATTAGTTGTTTTAAGTATTTGACCACATAAAAAATTTTAGCAAATTTAAGGGAGCTTAAAAAGGACCAGGCTGAATAGTAAAAATACAACATAGATAATAAATTTTAAAAAGGTATTCAAAACTAGTTTACAACTACTGAACAAAAAATGAGAATTCGAGCACCAGCTATGTTTAGTCATAATAAAATATATATTTTGCTTGAAATTTTTTCACACTTATATTATTATATTTTCTATGGTATAAGTAGTAATTTATTTTCGTCGCACTAGAGGTACGCGTTGAGCTATTGGCGGTGTTTGTTAAACATGATCCAACACAATTTTAATCTAGTGTGGAGAGAATGGTTTCTCCGCTTTGATAAAACGACAGCCATTATTTGCAAAGTCGTGCACTTTTTGGCTATGTGAATAGAGCATTCGCCTTCCTTCCAATCAGGTAAGTCGAATTCACATCCCAGCATTGGCTGGTCGATTCGAATTCCACATCCGGCTTACCCTGACCACAGTGCTGACGTAAAATATCCTCAGTGGTAGACGGAGTTAAGAGTCCCCTTGCCGCCAGGTTAACCGTGGGAAGTTTTTGTGGTTTTCCTTTCCTCCATGTAACGCACATGCGCGTTTCCTCAAAAAGTCCTCCACAAAGGCGAATTTTTCCCAATACTTGATCCAGGATTTCCCTCGTCTTCTGGGTTGGGTTCAAAATGACAAGGTTACGGAGTTGAACATTAGTAGTCATAAACCCAAATATCGGGTCTGCTGTTCAACGACGGTTATAAAATAAAATAAGATAAAGCAGTTTAACGGGGACCAATCCTGCGCACCCTCGGTCAATTCAAAGGCTGATTTAAGTGTTACCCCCCCCCCCCCTCACACACTGCAGCCAGGAATGTTTGATTTCGGTGATCTTCTGGTAATCGTATCTTATAACCAATCACTGAAAACAAAACAGTGGGGCAATTTTTTTAAAAAAAGCTCTGATGTTATCAAAATTAAGAAATGAACAAAATATTTCATCAAAACATTAAAATGAATATTTCAAAACATCAGTTTCGAGAATTATTAAGCGATAGCGCTAAGGAACAACTTTTAGAATAATTATGTCATTAAACTGTCTTCATTCAGCATTCGTTAACTATGTTCAAATTAAATTTAATTTTGTAGAAGCCCTCTCTTCAGATAGAGACAATTGTAGTCAAAATAACTTATTAAAACACCCTTTGAGGTCTATTCTACCTGCTTATTTTATTAGATCTGATAAACATACTAACAGTCGCTTTGTACAGTTATGTACGCTGACTTCTGCATTAAATCAAAAGGTGTTTGTGATTATTAAATAACAGCAACTTTATTAAATCTTATGTTGCGTTCTAATCTGAAGTTAGTTGTGACTGGGATAATGAATTTAATTCCACTAAAGCTTGATAATCTTACATATTTTTGGAATTAAAATCAAATTCTCTTTATCAATTGTTCCATAAGATATCTATTTTTAAATTGCTCATTCGATTATTTTTTTCTAATATTTAGTTTACGAAGTTCTTTTTATTCTTATTTAAAAAAAAATTCTTCTTATTTAAAAATTAGTTCTTATTTAAAAAAAATTTGAAAGCTTTATTATAAATAAATTACTTTCAAAAAGACTTAAAACAGTGATATTTTACAGCTTGTTCGATGTTTTATGGAATGCTGAATAACATTTACAGAATATTTTTATAAACATACAAAAAGATAATAGATATACAGGGTGGTATATAAAAAACATTTTTAATGTGTATTTTTAGAACCCTTATAAAAATGATAATAAAAAAAGTCAATATTCTAAAAAGATTGGCAAAATTTTAGGAAGTGATAGTACACACGCAAACAAACAGTTTTTATCAAAGAATGCATGATCGAAAACAAAACGCAAAACCGCTAAAGGGCGTCAAAATTTATGTTCTTATATCAGGCAAAAACACACAAAGAACGACGAAGTAAAGTTATAAAAGCAAATTTAATGGCATGTGATTACAATAAGTGTTCAAAACAGTGGCCGGCAGCGGCTATGCTGCTATGCACGCAGTACAACGGCGAGGAAAAGACAGGGCATATCATGAACTTTCCCTGCAGCGGCCGAAAGCTTGGCGACAAGTAACGACGCGCAGTAACTCGCAACAGGAATGGAGCTTTCACGCTTGCATCAAACAACTTTCCAAATGAGCCAGCACCTTTGGGTTTTGTTTTCGACCATGCATTCTTTGATAAAAATTGTTTGCTTGGATGTGTACTATCACTTCCTAAAATTTTGCCCATCTTTTTAGAATCACCCTG